AGATGATTAATTTCATCCTATGACTACAAGAACCGGTATCGATTTACCATTGAAAAAGGTAGGGGCTCTAACATGCACAGAATCTCTTTCAGCCACTGTGACCTGTCATAACTTCGCTCGGCCTTATGAACAATCAAGGAACTGGTTTGATATGAACAAAAAAGCTTACGAGAGGAAAAAGGAAACATGGGAACGAACGCAAAAAGGCCCAAGGTCGTAATGAGTAGGATTGAATAGAAAAAAATGAAAACATAAAGTGACAAATCTTATGACTGCAAGGGCCGGTATCGATTTACCATTGAAAAAGGTAGGGGCTCTCTTTGAACATGCACGGAATCTGTTTCAGCCACTGTGACCTGTCATAACATCGCTCGGCCTTATGAACGATCTAGGAACTGGTTTGATATGAGAAAAAAAGCTTACGAGAGGAAAAAGGAAACATGGGAACGAACGCAAAAAGGCCCAAGGTCGTAATGAGTAGGATTGAATAGAAAAAAATGAAAACATAAAGTGACAAAACGGGAGAAAAAGCTGCCGGTAGGTCGGCTCCCATCAACCTCATTGATTAATTTATGACGCGGATGTTGAAGGGGGAGGAGTAAAGCGATTAGGAAAAAATTGCGCTGCCAAGAAAAAAAGTGTGGGCCCATGAAGAAAGGTATGCAATGAATAAAGAAGCAATCGAGAAAGCGAATCAAAGCTGCAAATGACGACTTGCCCTTAAACAGGATTCTACGTCCGGCGCTCCAGGTCAAGATGTTAAAGAAAGCAATCAGCTCAGAGAAATAGGTCAAGCATGCCAGTGATTGTCAGTTTTCACTGAAAAATCTCAATTTTTTTTAAATTCCAATACATTTCAAAATAGCAAGTAGACCAAATAGCCCGTCGTTCTCGCGTGCAGTCAGCATGATGCCTGAACTCATGCTCAGATCTACTCGAAATAATAAAGTAGAATCGGGATAAGACGTTAGGGAAGAGTTTTCGCACTCACTGATAGTACAGACAACGTATGAAACCTTAGTCCTACTGGTGCCGGAGGATGGAATCGATTCGAATTTATGGAAAATTGATTTGATGATTGCTTGATCTAAACTGAGGGCAAAATCTGAAGAGCATCATCATCGTATCGAAATGGCACGCTCAGAATTTTGAGGGAGAAGACGTCAGTACATCAAAAAATTGATAAAAAGAATTTGATAGTCCCGGAGAGTAATTCGAGAATTTTATCCAACAGTCCAACAACAACAACTCTATCCAACAATCCTATTACGTTCTAGAGTCAAAATTACGTATGAGAAGGGCATTGATGCAAGAAGTTAAGTAGCATATGAAATAATTGTGAACGATTCAGAAAAAGATTAAATAGAAAGGACGGGAGAAACCAAATGAATGATATGGCTTAGCTGAATAGCCTATCGATCCCATGGGAAGTGAGGGCGAAGTAGAGCAAAGCGTTTATCCCTCTAGCGGCAAAATCTTGTTATCTGCCCTTGTTATATGAAATATAGCCGACAATTCCATAACCTCACGAATAACAAAGTATGTAATAGTACAAACTCAAACAAACGGTCGAATGAATCAACATGAAAAACCGGCAAAACGGCTTTTTCATGATGATTGCAGCGAGGGGGCAAAGAAATTCCAAGAATCCATCAGTGGACGGGGAGGTGTGCGTGTGTGGTGTCCGAAACGAAGGCCGGATGGAGGGGAGTTGTCTCGTCGAACTACCTGCGCCAGTTATGCCGGCTGGCACCTGCCCTATCCGATTACCCCTTTACGAGGTGGTGAGGGAGTATGTCAGCTGTAGTGCGGGATTTCCGTTGTTTTCCGAGTTTCACCGCCACATCGGCGTTATCCATGCGTGCAATCTCTCATTATTGCGATGAATTAGCGATGCAAATTGATTATGCTCGAATACGGGGTCGTGATTATTGCAAACGGGTGAGTGACGGGACTATAGAGTAGGCATGAACGAGTGTGAATAGCTAGGAAGGGCTGAAAGCTCAATATTGCCTTCCAAATCAGCCATGTTCTTATGGTCTAATGCAAAGTTTTATTCATATGAAGGAGTAAAATTTCAAGTGAAATTTCACACAATTTATCACTTCAACAGTGGGCTTCAACACATGATTGCCACAAATCACAAAAACAACGATAAATGAAAGAAGGCAAGTAAGAAGCCCAAATAAGTAAATTGATTGCGTGATAAAAAACTAGGCACTTGTAAATTCGTAGTTCATGTTAACTCCGTGAAATTTATGGGTTACGTATATTTTAAATTTACACTGTAATTACTACTATTTAATTATTTACTTAATCATGCGTACCAGCCTTGCTTTGTACAGAAAACTGGTAACACTCATTGCGGATAGCCAAGAAGAGCCTTGTATGTAAATATAGAAGATTAAGGATGGCTGAAGATTTCGAGCGCCCACTTTCTCTTTACCTTACAAGTAACGCTAGCACAAAATCAGAGGTTACCATTAGGCGTACTAAGGGAACCCCTTCCAACTGTAATGGTTGGATGGCATCCAAGTCTAGTATCTGCACCACTCGGTAATGGGCCTCAACCAGAAGAACCTACTAGGACGTAGGCACATGAGAATACCGGCAAATCTCGTAAGGCAGTTACGCCAGGTAATAGCCGGTCGCCAACCTCAAGGACTCTTAACCTTACCATTAGTCGTTATAATTTTATGGGAGCAATTATGTAAAGCTATGTAAGTGGTTTCATAAGGCTTGAGTCCAAATAGGAGCTAAACACTCCCCGGCCATGTCTCAATTTCCTCTGCAGCCTCAAGTCAGAGCATGATTAGCATTTCCTGGATTTTAAGACTTGGGAAATGACTTTTTCATTTTAACAAATTGAAACCGAAATAGGAAAACGATAATAAACGAACACTGAGTTAGTATTGGGAGCAGTAGTTTCAGGAGAAAATGCTGTGAGTTTTCATCAAAAATACCTATGAATTTTTACTAAATACAATATTAAAGGGGAACGAAGCATTGTCGAGCTGCGAAAGAGGACACCGGGTCTATGGGTGTGTGAGAAGAATTCGTAATGGCGTGTGAGGCAATTAGCCGATAGGCTAGCTCGACAGACCTCATCGCTATTCTTGTCGCCCTACATCTTCCAGAAGACATCTGCCCAATTTTTTTGTCTCACACGCTATATATTAAAGGGGAACGAAGCATTGTCGAGCTGCGAAAGAGGACACCGGGTTTATGGGTGTGTGAGGAGAATTCGTAAAGGCGTGTGAGGCAATTAGCCGATAGGCTAGCTCGACAGACCTCATGGCTATTCTTGTCGCCCTACATCTTCCAAAAGACATCTGCCCAATTTTTTTGTCCTATGCGCTATGAATCCCAATCAAATCAAATGTGATGTTGACAGTTGGACTGCCGATTGCTGAAAAGCTATATTC